ACAACGGTCAGTCATAGACCCAAGTCCCCTGTAGTCTGCTGCATTGAGAATTCTGGGCTCCTCCACAAAGGGCAAGAAAGAGAGGTTCCCCAGTGCGAATGTGTTATAAAACAATATTGTGTTTCCCTTAAGAATTGCAGTGATAAAAACATAGACCATTCTGCAGCACTAACAACTTTAATAAAATAACATAAAGCACAGCTGTCAGGTCTGCCAGCATCTCACACTGGGAGACATGAGTGAGAAAATGAACACTTTTCACAAGCAGAAATATTCAAAGAGCTCCACTGTTTACAAGTAATCGAGACTGACAGTCATAGATTATTGGTGGAAGAGCATTTTCTGCTTGAGGTGAAAGAAGAGGATAATTTATCAGGAAGCCCAAGAAGTCAGACATCAGTAATGATCTGCTTGACGAAGGGCATATCTTAGAAATAGTGCATTTATTTGTACTGCAAGGCAAGAAGATGTACTAAGTTATAAACAAGAGTCTTAGTGCTTGAAGAATGTTGAGCAGATACGGTGTGTAATTTGCTGGGCAACTGCGATTAGAGAATTGACTAATGTGTGTCTCAGTGCTTGTTCAGAATATTAAAAGAAAAAGTTAGCATAATACAGATTGTCTGAAAGAAATGCTCATGCTCTCTCATCCTATCCTCTCCTTTCAGAGTTACCTGAGCTATGTTAATCTGGTTGTTTACCTTTTGGTTAACACTTGTGCTTCTGAGACACTCCTGCAATACAACAACGGGTTTGGCTTCAGAGAATTTGGGGCTTTCTGAGTTTTGCAGCAGAGCATGTTATCTACCTGGTATGGTGTTTTTGCATCACCTTTCTCTTATGAAAACAGGCCAAGTACCAGCAGCTTTAAAACAGTAACTAGCTAGGAGCTCTACAGAAAAAAATTTATGGACTGCCAGCTGCACTGTCTGTGCCTTGGCATGCACTCTGGCCTGCACTGATGCAAGGTTGCGTGTAGGCAGACCCCCCTCCCAGCCCCTATGCCATGTCCTGCAGGAGGAATTGGTGTCCAGGTACCAAGAAATGCTACTTCCTTCCTGTCGTTCAGCCTGGAAGGGAAGGATTTGGCTAGAGTTAGAAGATTAAGCTCATGTCAGTATAAAACACCATGAAGATCCATCCCTTGTAGTTTGGTATTCATTGTCTCTGTTCCTGCCAGGCTCACTCAAAGCTTATAGCTTTTTTTTTAAAAAAACATTATAGCTTCCTAATGCTTATTTCTTTCACTTAGTATAGGGATTGTAAATTTTAGTCTGTATTTGGCCAACTTTGGCCAACACTGCCATAGCATTTCTGAGAATAGGCTGTGCTTCCCTGCACTTTTCCTGCTCCATGTCTGCTGGGACCTGAGCTTCAGGGAACACGAGAAGTCTCCTGCTACCCAACAAGAGGGCCTGTCAGGAGACCCCAGTGTGCCTGCAGAGCTCTGCAGAAGACCCTGGCAGTGGCCCCATCACCCTGTGGATGTCCTTGGAAGACCTTTAGCAAAATCTATCCCCTTTACTTCAGTGTTTTGTACAAAAGTGACTCTCGTAACCTCAGCATGTACTATTTTCATCTCACTTGAAATAGCAGCTACTTATCACAACTAGACACGTACACATTTGCTTGGAAAGGGATTCTGAAGGTGAGCAGTTTCTTCTAGAAGCGTTCATTTCAAGAAGAACAGCGGTTGTTGTTTAGGGACCTTTGAGTAATAGGGAAGCCTTGTCCCAGGAACCATAGAGAAGGTAGCCAAAGTGATTTTGACAAGATGTGGATCAGTCGATCTCCACCTCTATTCAGATTGTCCAGGGAAACGTGGGCAAAACCTCTCTTGCAGAAAACTATGTCAGGCATATGATGTGGGGTTCTGGATAACATTATTTCTTTTTATTTCCAGAGCTTGCAGAAGTAAAATTGTTCTACAGAAAGTACCACAGAATTCAAGCTAGTCTGTGTTTGGATGTATCTGAGCAAGGATGTCAGCTCAAGTTCTCCAGCTTTTTCTGTCTGACTGGGGAAAAAAACAAGGGGAAATCACTAGATTTTTATAGATGGATAGCTGGCAAATAAAGGTGTTTTGTTTTTTCTTTACTTTGAGCAGAACCTCAGAGTGCTCTCCAGGTGCAAGAGAGTGTTGCTTTCCCTGTATAATCCACACATTCAGTAGCATGTCAGATTGTAAAGATGCATGGCTGGGATTTGGATGTGTATGTGAATATGAACACACTCCAAGGCACAGAAGTCCCTTAGAAACAAGTATCAACTGTTGTGGGTTTTTTTCCCACCTGAATTCTAAATCAATACTATTTAATACTGAAATATGTATGATGTTCTATCCTGAAAATAGCTTAACAACTCAGCTAAAATACTATGGAGATTGTCTTAGTCTCTTTTGGAGGGAAAAAAAAAAAATAAATTTGAAATAACGTAGCTTTTGCTTACAGAGATCTGAACCCCGTTGAAAAGCACCTTACATAAGAACACATGAAATAACCTAGTGAGACCCAACCCATCCATGAACACAATATCTTGTCATCATTGGAAGACCACTAGCAGATGCTAAGAGAAGATTTGAAGAACTGGGCAGGTGCATAGATGTGCCTCCATTAATTTGTGGCAGGTAGAATCCCTGAGCTAGTGGTGGGATCAGCAGCCCTTAGTTTATTTGTCTTCCTTTTATTGGTACTGTTCATCTTGAACTTACATAATGTTTAGCATCCAGAACATCGTCGAGCAAAGTTATCCATAATTTAACTCTTGTACTTCAAAGTGACTAGGTATACAGTTTGTCTTGTGCTGGACCTGCAGGATGGTGGTAGCAGAGAAAGGGTAGGCAGCCACCAGAGACAGTTTTCCAAATCTTTGCACTAGTAGTTAGATAATATCAGAAACTAAGTGGTATTGGGGTGGTAACTGTTTATTGCACTTCAGAAATTACTGGCAGGGTAAGAGGTTTGAATGCAGAATAGTCCTGGGATCCTGTGTCGGTAGACGTAGCAATTTTATACCAAAATAATATTCATCTATAAATCAGTTGAACAATTAATGCATTGGCCATGGCAGTGATTTAACACTGCAGTCTGTTGTTCGTCATACCTAGCACATCCACAAGATGTGGATACATCTTTTCAGTACGAGAGGCGCGTTAATGCCTGCCGTGGCAGAGCACGGCAAGGCTGTGTCGAGCACATCTGAGCCAGGCTGGTGCTTGCTGTGTGGCACTGCGGGCTGGGCACCAGGAGCCACGGCTGCTGATGGAGGTTGGGTTTCCAGGCAAGTTTCAGAATTCATTGTTGCTCCCCGTATATATCTGGTTTAACCTTAAGTCAAAGATTGATTATTTTTAAAGGTTAGTAGTTATGTAGCAAAAGAAACCCTCTCCTTTGCTAGCTTTGAGAAGTCACCATGGTCTATGACTTCACACAGTTTTAATTTAAGCAACAACAGCAGCCATTTCAGGATGTGCCTCGTTACTGTTCACTTCAGTGTCTTTGAACAGGAAAAATAAAAACAAAAACAAGTCAAATCCCCACTTTACTAGTCTCCTCTTGGTGTCAGCTCTCACCTGGGTTGCACATTAACAGGACAGCAAGGGAGAACAGCAGCCAAATCACATCACTAAAAGCGTTCTTGCAGGTTAAACAAGGAGACCTTGAGGAACAGGGGCTGCCCTCCCTTGCCTTCTAGCTGTTGCCTGCTGTATCTCCTGCTGATGCTAGGTTGAATGAGCAAGATATTGCTTTTTTAGAAAACCAGCTCACACCTCAGACAGACAATTGATTTACCACTACTTGGCTTGTCCTGATGCATCCTCTTGTGAAGTGTAAGCACTCATAGTCCATGGAAAGTACAGGATGATGGACGCTGTTTCCTATAACACCCTCCTATTGCCAGCTCAGCTGTGGTACCTATACACTATATAGGTATGTACAGTGGTTGAGAGCAGGCACGTGGACACAAAGGATGCATGCTGACAGTGTATACACTGTACTGGTTCCTGGATTTTAAATCTTTCTCTAGAATTCTGTAGCATTATTACAAGATGAATTTATAACACACCTAGAGCTAACGTAACAATGAAGATTAGTCCTCTACTAGTCGAACAGCAATACACTTTAATTTGCCTACAGCTACTGTATTGTATTGGCATGAAAGGAAATAGCTTTCTAATGCAGCTTCATCTGCTGAGCAGGAAGAAATCAGTGCTGCAGAATGTAAAACTACATAGGACTGTAGCTGGCAGCAAAATTCAGAGTAGGAGAAACACAGCACAAATAAGTGTTTGTGAGTTGGATGTATGCTAACAATCCTAGTTTATTGCTAAACTTACCATATACAGTAATGCAGTTTGCTTGGCGGGTTCAATATTGCTTCATCTTTGTTTTTTCACTGCTTCATCTTCTGTACTAAAATTTGTCTAGGAATAAAAGGTGTAAATTTATTAGCTCCCCACTTTATTTGTGACATTAACAAAAAGTCAATATTATAATGTTCCTCAGAAGCACTGATGCTGTTAATGCGATCTGAGCTGTGCTCTGTACCTAGAGTCACACTGGAAATCTCAGTACTGAAGTCATTAATGCAAATGTTTCTGCTGTCTGTTGTAAATATAGTCTTCCCTTGATGAGTGTCATGCATTCTTTGAGTGGACATGTGTACAAATGGTCATTCAAGTGCCAGCGTGTTACATTTACCATAAAATAGAACTCCCTCCTTCTGGAGAGCCGCAAAACCATCAGCTTCTCCCTTCTCCTGGAGAGGCAAAAGATGTATTTGAAATCGTCATGTCTGGGATAATATTGCTTAATACTTACTGCATAAGGGATAGAACTTACTTTTATGGGCGTATTATTCAAGCTAGATGCAAAAATTGGTTTACATACTTTTGATCTTTTTCCCCAGTAAATCATCAATTAGATATTGAATATGACAATAAAACTGGAAAAAAAAAAAATCAACAGTCAGTTCTTTTTCTTCTTCCTCCCTTAAAAAAGTTGCAACGACATGACAAAGAGGATTCCCCTGACAACTGGAGGACAGAAGAAGAAATGGCAGCTGAAGCAGAAATTCTGAAGAAGTATTTTCAGGAAAATTAGAGGTAATGATTTACACGTTGACTTTCACTTGCAACACCCAAAACTTTGCTCAAGTTTCCATAGGCTTCTTGAGGACAGAGGAGGAATATGTAGAATGGAAAATGAAACAAGAAATGAAAGCTCTTAGGTCTGCATTGTTTCCAGAAGGACACGGCACTCTAACAGTGGCTGAAATAACATGCTGCTCCTTGAACAAATCAGCACCATCCTAGAGCATTTAGTTTCCAGACAGCAAAAATAATATATCTGGAAATCAGAATAATCAGCAGTTACTTAAGAGAAGTGTCTAAACTAGCATCTCTTTCCTCTGTTTTTAGAACAGAAAATAGCCTTGGTACCTCTATGAAGAGCTAAAAACTGATATGCCTGTGTACACGTGCACCTACCTATACATACAAAAATCCCAGCAGAATTCAGACTATAGAGTGGATAAGCAAACGTTAACTTCATCTTTAAAATCTTAGATCATCTGATCAGTTCAACTTTCAAAATTAAACCTGCCAGAAAACTGTGTGTACTGGTAAATTTTCCACTGGCCCTAAAAGAAAAAAAGATTTGCAGGGAGGAATAGAAAAGAGAAAACACTTGGCAAACACTAACATTGGTGATCTAGAAATTGAGAGTTTTTCATTTTGTACCTGGAGTCCCAGAAGCCAGATTCTTCCAGTAGAAATAAACTGGCCCCCGGAGATCAATATGAGTTACACTGGGATGTACGCTGCAGCAATGATGCCAAAAGCTCCCTCTCCCCTGCTCCCCATATGTTGTTTGCCATCATCCAGCGCACTCATTTCTCTGTCATTTCTGACTGTTTCATATTTTTTCCTCTGAAGAACTGAAATCTCACAAATATCCCTCCTCTCTGCCTGTGACTCATTGTTTGCAGCCCAGCTTGAGAAATCTTGAGCTAAGCTACACAGTGCACGTGTATCACACTTATGTGGCAGCTCCTGTCTTTCATGCCATTCTGTCATCTCCATTTCAGCCAGGGCACCGGACTCTTTCATTTCCATTTTTTCTTGCGTGATGACCATCTTCTCTAGTCAAATTAGCTATGCCAACATTTCTGCAGACTGACACTGAGAAAACTCTGCGGCACACATAATTCCCATCTGTGAAGGAAACTTATCCTCACAATCTGGGACCTAGGGACCTCTAGGGTTTGGAGCAGCAGGGTTTGGACTACACACTTGAGTTTCCACTGTGGCTGCTGTATTTGTATTTAGACACCCACTTTTTACCTTCTCAGAAATACACTTCTCAAATATGAATTACTCAGCCAGAAAGAACATATCTATGCATATGTAAGCACTCTTCTGTACTAACAGAGGCATTATATAGTACTTAATCCATGGCACAGCAGCAAATGAACAGTATTTAGGATAAAATGGTGCATCCCTATTCCAATGTGATGTTGTTCCCCATTATATATTTGGTAGGTTTGGGAGCATGAGGGCAGAGTTGTTCTGGTTAGAAATTAATTTGAAATGCTTTTCTACAAAGATTCTCAAAAGGGTTGGAATTAAATCCCCACATATCAATAAAATGTTCTTAGGCTCTTCTGATGCTAAACACAATGCAGGGTAGATAGTATAAATTCATTCCTGCAAGCAAATTCATGTGGCTGGACATTTATTTCCATTTATTATGAAAATAAATCAGTGTGTGTCTGCATGGATGACCTCTTGATAAGTTCCCCATGATATTAAGGTCATTACCTTTCCTAGAACAGACTGGTAAATTAAATCTTACTGGCATCATTATCATGAGAGTATTTTGCCTAGTACAGGCAGTCCTTCCAACCCTTGACTCCCAACACAAGGCACCACTGTCAATCTCTTCTTCCTGACATTGTTTTGCTTCTGAGGTTTAAGGCTCTGGACCTGAGATAAACGTATATCTGATCACCTTTTGAATTTCTCAACCTTTATCTACTCTCTTAACCTTGCTTCTAAAGTGATGAAGATTGAAAACTTTTGTCAAATTAACAAGGTTATATGCATCACTCTTCAAAGCTATTTTTGTTTTTAGTCTACAAAGGACTTATTTTGCCATTTATAAGTTTACCTGGATGCTATTTAACTCGAGTTTTTTCATGTAGCACAGGGAAAGTCAGAAAGAGCTGAATGTGGGTGTTCTAGAGCCAATAAATAGCAATTTTTAAGGCCTTATGTGTTATTTTTCTGCTTAAGTGTTTTGTTCAAAGAAGAAGAAACCCAGGACACTATCTTAGCCTGGACAGACTGAGCTGTGTTTCAGAGCTTTCCCAGCTACCCTTACATTTATCACAATTCCTTCACCAACTCTCACAATTCCTATGTGACTTGCCTAAGTACAGTGCTACCTTTTACCTGTATTTATAGACTATCTGGTCAAGAAGGATTTGCAGTTGACTTTTTCCTAAGTAATATTTGAACAAGGCAAGAAGTTCTTGATTGTCTCCCTACTACGTTTGCTGGTGCTGATCTCTCTTGGCTAGTTGGGTAGCCACAGCTGAGTGCTTCTATGCCAGTCTCCCAATGATCAGAAATATCCAGCCACTTGCTTAAAGAAATGACCTCGTTTACCTTTTCTAAGTTTACACCCTTGAGAAAATACTTCTCTTAACATAATTTATTCATGTGTATAATTGTCTAGAGCAGATGAAATTGAAATCAGTGAGTGAATTTGTGTTTTGCATACATTTCTGGTCTTTCACTGCATGTCCTCATGCCACCCTATCCCATCTCCTTAGAAGGACTTGTCACTTCTTGAACACCCCCACCATGTGCAGGCTCCGCAGGGCTGCTCACAGTGTTGTGACTGTAGAGATGAAGTTCAGCAGAACTTCTTATGGCTCTGGACGAGGACAAGAAAAGAAAAAATACAACTTTCTGCAGATAGGAAATTTAATATAATTGCCCAATTAGTCACTCTCTTGCTTAGCAGCAAGATTTGATCTCTTTATGACTCATTCCTCATTCAGTGTTGGCTGTCATATGGTCAGCTGTGTTTGATAACTGGTTGCTCTTCGAGGTGGATTCATGGGAAGAGAGTCCTTCCTCAAAGAGCAAGCTTTGGTGGAGCATCTTAATTTCCAAGCCTATTTTTCAGATGCACCTTTTAAATTTTCTAACTATCTATATCTGGGTAAGTGTTTTGATAGTCTGTTTTGTGCATTTTACATTATACATGGCAGCAAAAAGGCTAAAGATTAAAAGACTTACTAACCTTCAGATAGTATATGAAAAATGTTTCTCTTCAAAGGCAGTTTCACTCTGTGTTGTTGTTTCTGAAGAAAGAACCAGGCCACACAAGTTTCAGTAGAAGTTTTCCCATTTTATGCATAAATACAGTAAGACTTCTATGCCATTAGAAAAGTAGTCAGTCTTAAGTACGACATAAAAATGTCTCTTTGCATAAAGGGCCTGACAGTGATATTTTGTTGCCTAGTGCTTTTTGAGTTACAAATATTCAATAGCTTTTAATTGCTTAACTATCTGAATATTTTGCATGATTCAAAATGCACAATTCATTTTAAATCTCTCCAAATAATGTGGGCTGCACAGTCATGTAGGGTTTCTGATGTCAATTCTCTCTTCCATCCCCAGTCTGGCAATATTTCTGGAGAATATAGTCTTTTCAACTTTGTCAGAGAATATGGATTTTATTTATTTTTTTTTTCACCCCACTGCAAAGGAGACAATCTCATTCTTTGAGAGCATTCATCCTACCTCACAGCTGCCTCTTCTGCACCAAGATCTCAGCATGTGTGAAAAGATGCTGTTCTATTGGCTTCAGCAGGGAAATTACCACTGTTAGCAGCAGCTGACCAGAGGGAATTTAAACTGGCAATTTGGCTTGCATCTATCTGGTTTTGCTCCAGCACCTCTGACAACCCATGCTGCATACAGGAGAGTGAGCACCAGAGCAATCCCATCACTTTCCTTAAATTTAGGCAAGTATGTCAAGTTGGCTCACAACACCCTTCTTTGGTTGCTTTACTGTAAGAAAAGCCTGCCTATTTTTTCTGGTACTTTAAACTGAATAAAAACACAAAATAATGACTACATCTTGGAGTGGATCCACAGACTGGATTTGGGACATGCTGTGCAGTGAGGACACAGTCTGCTGTACCTGCAGCGTGGACCACAGAGCAGGTTATCCCCTGGGTGGGTGCCACAGTGGCAACACAGACGTGGTCAGAGGTATTTTCTGCAGTAGATGTGCCTCCACTGTAGGCATCGTGTTGGCAAGCAGAATCACCATGCAGTCACTGAAAATACAACATGCTGTGGACTCTGGTATGAGGAAGTGGAGCAAGGGAAAGGAGTGCAACAGGCAGGGACCTCTCACTTTCAGAGTCTCGCTTTATAAGCAGGGTAAGTTTTTGAGTGCTAACTGGAGTTAGACTCAAGGTGGTGCCTCATCCTGGGGGTTTCCCAGGGAGTATTGCCAAGAGCTATTCAAGGCTGCACTTAGGAGCTGTTTGTATATAATCCCTAAGTACACATCCTAGTAATCAGCTATAGATTTCTCTGCACTCCAGACTTAAGTGCTATTAATTATTTCCCCCACTCAGAAACCTCCAAGAACCATTAATTAGAAAGCAGGAGCTGATGGTTTGCTTGTCTCTGTGAAACTATTATGACCTGAGAGTGAAATATAAGCTTCAAAAGCAACATGTTTTATGAAGGTCACCTTGGAAAACATCATAACAATCCGTCAGGATAAGAGAATGCAGCACTGCAAGTGTGCGTTTCAGTGTGACATTATGCTTTAAGTAGCTGGAAATAGCAAAGAGACGATGGATCAGATCATAAGGTCTATGCTTTTTCACACAAAATTCTCTTTTTTTCTGCAGTAAGTACATATAAAGTAATCTTTTTGTCATTTCAGTGGAATGCAAGGAAAGTTAATATCAACAGAAATCCAACAGACAAACATATTCTGGCCCTTGCTGGTATTTTTGAAGTGTAAAACATCCAGACTCACCACCTCTGCAGCAGGGAGGTTTATGCACAGGAATTAAATTATCTCTTCAAGGGAAGATGTAAGCAGCCAGAAGTGGTCCAGCGACTGTATACAGCAGTAATACCCACCCTAGAAGGCTCAGGGCAAAAGGCTTCCTCAAATAAATGTGGTGTGCTAATGCACAGCAGCCTCAGCATCGGGGTTGATTATTTTTCTATCTGAAGCACATCATTATTCACATGAAAACAAAGCTGCAATGGAGTTAGCTATGGTTATAAGTAGAATGTCTTCCTCTTCTACAGGACAGCATAAACATGATGTCCCCCTCCCATCTATTCCAGGACTCTATTTTGAGGCTGTAAGTAGTACTGTGCTGAAAGTTATACACCTCATTCTCTGAACTTCCATTTCCCTATAGGTGGCTATTTAATTCAGCTGTAAAGAGTACATGAATTCCATAAAGCACTGCTCAAATCCTGTAATTATAGCTACAGTCAAAACGTCATGGCCAGAGACACAGACAAGATTGTATCGCATAAAGTCAAAGCAGCAAATGCATTACTGTTAGCAAAGAAAGCTGACAGAAGGCCAGATGTTCTTTTAACTTGCACATCCAGCAGCCTAAATGCTTACCTGGGCTGTCTGTCAAATATCAAGTATTTTCAGTCTGATCCATTCTCCATTCATCATTAAGCTTTATGTGTGTTGTATTATATGAGAGGAAAATGGGGAAAGCCAGGCATAACTGATGGACATTGTGTCCCAGGACCTGTGATAAAAGAGTTGAAGTACAGGGCAATGTGGACCTTCAAATAAGGATGATACCAACTGTGGTCAAGTACTTTTATGCCCAAACCTGTGCTAAAATGGTGCTAATCTCTTGCCCCTAAAGCTGCAAAAGGATGCACTTACTAAGCAGCCAGACCCTCCTTCAAGCAGATTCACAAAACACATGCCAAGTAATTTACAGGCTGCCATCAAACTGTCAGTCAAGAGGGGCATACAATGGAAACTGTTGCTCAAAATGCCATCAAGAGGGGAAACATATGTTTCAGTGAGAAAAGACAATCAAACAAAGAAGTGGGTGGTTGGGGAGTTGCAGCCGCAACAGCAGCAAGGATCCAAGCCTTGCACACAGCCCCAGGAAACAAGTTTGGGGGCCATGCCTTCATCTAACAGTTAGGTAACAGCCTTGTGTTTAATAAACTGAAATTTTAATTTGTTTTTCCGATTATTGAAGCCAGCTCTAAACATGCTCTGAAGTGAAGGTACAAAACTGAAGATGCAAAGCAAAAAGCCCACCTCGTGCTCAATTATTAGTAAAAGTTTGTGTCATGTTTTCCTATTGCTGTAGCTGCTGCATAATAGAACTGCCCACAGACACACTAACCAGCAACTTGAATGTGACCTCAAAGCTTAAAAGCTTCCTCTGTGTGAGTTTTGGTGTATCTAGGCTGCGTAGGTGAAAAGGCATTAACTCCTCCAGTAAGTAGTTATTTGAAAAAGGAAGGGGATGATGAACACTGGAAATACATTGGACTGAGCATAGCTGAGGCTCTGTTATTTGCCAGGATGTCAGTCTCTGCATGAAAGGACAGGTATGTGCAGGGGTAAACCCAAACATCCCTTTTGTGTTAGCACCTGGAGCTGCTGCAAGCCTCCAGTTAATACTGCAGTAACAATTGTGCCATGGGTTTGTGCAGAGATTTCACACCCAGTTTTCACAGCTGCAGTCAGCTGCAGTTGTCAGGCTCTTAAGCATTTCTATTTCTCTGAGTCAGGATCACCTTCTAGTTCTGTTATAGCACCTATTACAGGTTGTTTACTAGAATGGGCCACCAAGATTTGCATAAAACGGGAGAAGACATGGGAAGAAATACCCCATCCATTCTCCAATGTGAGAGACTGGGGGCGTTTTCAGAGTGATGGCCCCAAATCATTAGTGTGTATTACCTTGGCATTAGGCAGAGTCCCACTGCAGGGTCAAGATGGATGAGGTTATACAAGAGATGATGATTTTGAAAGAGCATTTGCAGGAGCTTATATGGGATCATGCGCCCCAAAGACTTGCATGAGATTACTATAGCAAAATTGATTTGAAGAGTAAGAAGCTGGATTTGATGACACAAGATGCCCTTTCTAATCCTTTATTCCTATGACTAGCAGTCAACAGAGCTGGGGACTGTGCTGTCTTACTCAGGGACATCAGAGAGGTGGCTTCACTTCATGTTTGTTTTTCTGTAAAATGATCCTGACCTCCTTCGGAGGATGCTTTGTGAGTTAGGAATGAAAAGCACAATGTGAAAGGCAGGCATTAGTATTATTTGGAAATAAACTTTATTGAAAAAGTAGGTAACAAATCAAACAAATCCTCCTCTTTCTTGCTCTGATACATAATTTTAAAATAGTTGCGTGCAAGGAATTTTTCCTTTCTCTATCACACATGCTATAATAAGAGCTGAAATCTGCTGTGTGTGGCTTTAACTCTGAACGTTTCCTTTTGCCTGTCATTTCCAGTGTTTCCTGCTGGAACACACTAATGAGCACCTAACTCATTAGCAATAAGCAGTCTTACATTTTGTCTTACTAACAAAGATCAAAGATAATATTACATGTAACTATCTGTTATGTTTGATCTTTCTCAGGTAACAAAGTGTTTGAAAAACATCCCATGACATAAGGAACTCCCCAGAAAGACAGACCTTATTCTCCAGTTCTCAGTGGCCCTGGAGCTGCAGCTGAACAATTTTATTATGTTCTACAAATATGGGATTCTTCCATGAAAAATTTTATTGGACCTTTGGATATCATCAAGGTTGAATTTCATCTAAGACAACTAACAGCACTGATTCAAAATATTGCTCTGAGTAGTAACTCATATTTTTCTGAATTGTGTACTTGGAAACGAATCTTTTTAAATTGTCCCTTGGCTTAAATTGAAATAAAGTGCTAGCAAAATCAGGTAGCTATTGTGTTTAGGTACATTACAAAGTGTATACTCCATGTTGTCCTTTTTGAATTGGTTATTGTATGTGGGCTATTATATCATAGAAAAATTAGATCTTTTAGCAGTATGACAATTCATAAAAACCAAGGCTTTGTTACAGACTAGCCAAGATAAACTTGGAGAGCTACTGTTTTGTCAGGTAAGGTAGTATAACAAGAAATATAACACTTCCTAGGATCTTCCCTTTCTCTGTTCCTTTTAATGCATTGTCACAATACTTCTAGAGCTTAAGGTGATACAAAACACTTCTGCAAATCAATGAATGTGTAAAGCTACTAATGGGATAGTAATCACATTAGGGTTTGACTGGCAGGAATGTCCTGCTTGCAGCAACAAACGAGTGGGAGCCACCCATGTGGAACTCTCCCTTGGCAAGAAATGCCATGTTCAGAGCCCTGCATAGGAAGAAACCCGCCATGGGTTAGTTGTTGATTGCTAACATGTAACAAAAGGAAAAGAAGTCAAACAACAGATGGAGGAGAGAAGAAATGAGTCTGCAAGTTATGCATTGAAAAGAGCACCTGTAATCTTGCTCTTGAATTGCGGGGAAGCGACAACCAAAGCTTTCTGTGTCCCCTGATCTCAGGATGGAAAACAATGTGACAAGTTTTTCAATAAGACCCATGCTGAGGGGTGCTGTAGGGTTCAAAGTCTTCTTGAAGGTTTGAGGAGGTCAGTCAAGTGCAAACCAGAGCCTGGCAGTGCTTTGCATGCCTGGCAGCACAGTATAGTCACTGTCTAGAACAAATAAAAACGCTCCACAATAATTTGTCTTGAAGGGTTGCAACCTGACCTGAAAAGTATGAAAATGCACAATGGATGAACTCTCATAATTTTCCCTAAGTCTCTTTCCGCTATGTACTGCAGGGGAATCCATTCCATTGAAGTCTTTGTGCTTGTCAGATAGCAATAGAAACACTAGAGCAAAATCACTGATGTTTAATTCCAGATTTTACTGTGGTCCTGTTAAAATATTGCTCCTGAAAAGCCACTTTGATTCACGGATTTACCATGAACCAGTGTGGCCACCAATATCTTCCATTAGCTCTTTTGAAAACTGTAGAGATTGTAACGCTATTTCCTTTTCCATGCAGAGTAAATGCAAAGTCCATTTTTGTGATGTCTGCACTTTCTAGACCCTGAACAAAGGCTGAATAAACAGTAAATGAAGGTCAGGGGGCAAGAAGTGGCAGAGAAGAAAAGGTGAGCAGACAGGATTGTCAAAGATGCTGACAAATGGGTGAACGCAAACAGTCATCCTTTTGTGCTTAAATATTAAAAATAGCTGAGATTTCACATAGAATGAAGACAATGGTTGTGCTGCCTGGGAAGCACTAAAAAGAAAAACTGAGCACCAGTTACATTTGCAAGGTATTTCCAAACCTGATGCTCAATAGATTCCTATTAAGTATGGAATATTCTGTATTAATTCTGTAGCTTATGCTAAATGGGCGCTGCGCCAACCATTTTGCATGGGGGTTGCCAAGCAGATGAGTACTGAGCTGTATGGAAGATTTCATTTGAGTAAATGAGGAGGCCGTTATCACAGCACTAAAGGTCCTGTTTTTTTTAAAAAAAAAGCCTCCTGTGACATTATGCACAAAACAACCTATTTATGCAGCATGAAAATATTTATGTGCTTCGCTCCAGCTTTAAAAGGGAATTTGCAATAGATGAGGCACATGAGAAAGGATTGGAGTGAGAGATAAGGAGAGATTAGAAAAGGCAGATCATGAAGTACATGACATCCTGCAGCAGTATGTGGAGTAACACCCCTCCACACACCTGTTTTTAAGACCTGAGACTTCAGGATAGTGTCTGGATCATTCATACACTTCCTATGTACCTAATTTTCCACAGGCAGCGCACTGCATACGAAGATGCAATAGCTGGAAATGTGTGGATACGCTGTGCTGAAGGCATTGATGGTCTTTGTAACCAACTTTGTCCTTTCCAACCTCAGTCGCTTGCCCTCACTGGGGTCACACCCAGGGCTTGCCTTTGGGCTGGGGGATATTTCAGAGTGCTGAGCTCCACCATCGAAAGCAGACAACATGGGAAAAATCATCCATGTAGGGGATCAGATGGACATGGTGCAAGTGGAGTTGTCCCGACGGGGTGGCTTCGTAACAGGACAAAGCTAACTGTGCTCACCGTTGCTTAGCTCAGACCCTCATTTCCCTGTCCTCATATGCAAACAAGTTTCCCAGGATTTTTTGATTACTAAAACTTTCTTTCCCTGAAGTGAGCAGTTCCTCCAAGGCACCACAGCACAGCTGTGCCTGTGTGTCTCTATTTTCATTAGCAAAACGGCTGTGGTTCAGCCACAATGCTCTTCATTGGCTTTTATAGGACCAGGCTGGGAGTAGGATGTGGCTCCATGTGCTCTCTGTCTGCCTTGAACCAGACATTGCATAAGAGCTGTCTCAGGCATGGTCAGCCCCACAGGCAGAAGAACGGCCGGGTTATTGGTAGCACATGTCTGATGGGGACACCATCAGCCCATGCACCTGGTCCCTGCCGTGCCAGGCAGCCCAGGCATACGGTCCCATTTGAAGGGCACCTGGCAGCCATCTCCTCACGCATGTACATTTTCGGGGCTGGGCAAAAACATTAGGAGTGGGCTCTGAAGGTTTTGACATGGTAGCAGCGTGGGCCCATGTTGTGCTGTGCAACAGCCCAGGCACCCAGCTTCTGCACACCCCTGCTTGGTTTCCCAGTGTGCTCATCTGGACCGTAATTATGTTTCTTTGTGCAGAAAGGCAGCTTAGATTGCTAATTGTCCTACAGCAAATCTGCTTGCACTAAGGCAGGCAGATTCTACAGTGCTTTCAATGAAGGCGGTGAGTACAGCATGAGGCTATCTTTTAATTGCCTTTCAGCAATTCAGCAGCATTCTTGCTCCAGATGCAGATGTACCAGCCTGGTCCTCCATGGGACAGCCGGTGCCATCCCAGGTAGCTCAAAGGGGCTTGTGTGTTGACAGAATCGATGGGCTGGGGACATGCTGCATCAGCTTCTTGAACTCTTCCTGCGGTATTTCAGAAATCAGCTCCGTGCTGCTTCTAGCATCCCCCAGCACACATGCATCCCACCCTTCAGGTATCAGGCTCTCATTTATTCCTGTGCTCAAATAACATGGTGTTTCATTTTTAATTAATGTTGCAGAGGGGAAAATGACCGTTTGGTCTCTGTGGGAGCCTGACTTGCCTGCAGACTTAGGATGACATCTAAGATAAAGGCTCCTGGCTGCAATGGGGGGGTCAAGGTCAGCTCCTGTCTCATGACAGCACCCTGAAATATGACTGGGGACTGATCACTCCCTGAAATAAAAAAAAACTGAATACTTGTGAAATCTGGGGGTGATCTCACACCCTAGCTGTAAAGCCATAAAAAATCACAATGCCCCAGTACCCACAGAGCTAATGAAAAATTTTCAAGCCCAAATACACACATAGTGACAGCCATGAAAGTATCTAAATCATTTCTATTACAGCTTTCCGTGTCCTCCTATCCACTCCCCAGCCTCTCTGTCCCTGCGGTCAATGGCTGCTGAAAAGCCTTGTCTGATTCCTGCTTCTGGTTCCCAATGTACAGGCCAGCAGTGCTGTGAAGGAGAAAATGCTGCTGCTCGTGTAAGCTGTCCTGTGTGTTGGCAGGGCTGTGAGTTTCAGAAGAGAGTGATGTATTTCAGCTCTTGTGAAATTTCTGAATAATCAGCTCATCAAAAAATATCATGCAGAGTTCCCTTGTAGTCCTCTCCAACTTGCCACCTCTCCTGCCAATAGCTCTGTAGGGTGACCACAGCTTGGCATAACCCATTAGCAGAGTTCTGCACAATCACTCATGAATAGAGCTGGCTGGCAAGTACAATTTTGAATCTGGGAAAAAAAAAAAAAATATATATATATATATATTTGGTGGGACAGGGGAAAGTTTGGCTTGGCATTTCAGGATGAAGATTTTCTTCACTGCTCCCTCCAGCACCCTCTTCTTCTCCTCCCTGCACCCCACCCTTTTTCCTCCCAGCCCCATTTTTTAGAGGTTAACTCCAAGAAAATAAAAATTCTACTTACAGTGCTTACAGGGGCAAAGTCATTGGATGCTGTTTGATCTGCTGGTGCCCTCCTCCCAGCCTCCAGGCCTAGGAATCTTGCTGCAGGATGGGCACTGACACAGCGGCACCTTCTCCAGCCAGAACTCCTGGGCAAGCTGTCCTTGGACCTGCAGTTTTTGCTGCCACTGCACAGTTTCTTCTTTGGAGTTTCTTCAAGATAGTCCCCTCTTCAAGCCACTCAAAAACCTGCTGTTTAGGTATCTGGAAGCTGGCAACCATATCTCTATTCACAGGGAGATGGTAGGTGCTGGAAGGGCCTTGAGGTAAACCGGGCCAGTGGCGCTGCAGAGACAAGGGGCTGAGCAACAAGAGTTGCTGGCCTGCCTTCATTTGCTCCTCTCAGTCCTGTGTTGCCTCCAGGCACATCCCTCTGTGCTTTCCCCCTTCCTTTTGGACATGTGTTTCTGTCACAGATAGATGATCATCGCTTTGGCTGGAAAGAGCAGACTTCTTTGCTCTGTCCTCTAAGGATGCTCAGAGGTGAAACGCAGGGAGCAGGTCAGGCAGGTTGCAGACCCTGTCCTTAAGGCAGGTGGCAAATAACAAGTGCTGTGGAGAAAGGAGGTGCAAAAATCAATGGTTAGTGCACTAGGATTAAAGCTGTGGCATGAAAGCCTTATAGGACCAGGATTATTACCTTTTTTCAGGCCTGTGGTAACTGCACTGACCATGGCACTTGGTATAACATGGGCCTAGTACTTGCGACACTTTTCAAAGCCCCGTATACTCACACAGGACGCAACTGCAGCCATCAGTAAGCAGAGGCTGCAGCACAGTTTTTGAGCACTACCTGTCCCCTCCTTGTCTCTGCCCCGGAGCTGGCTGCAGTTGCTGAGCATTT